AAATATAACTTTAATCATATGTAATTAATATTTAAAGTATAATTAAAATTTCAACTGTGATATATTATTAAACCAGAAGGCATATAGATAAAATAAAATAAAATGATAAAATAAAATAAAATGATAAAATAAAATAAAATGATAAAATAAAATAAAATAAAATTGTCCCGTGTCATAAGTTTAAATAGAATTTTATTTATAAAAGAACTTTTTATAATTGGAAGATATGCTTCTATAACAAATGGAATGAAAAAGCAGAATACCTTGCTAATTGCATATTTATAAGGCATATCCTCATTAAACCACTGTTCAGAAATCCAGATTATATAGTTTACAAGAAGACGTTACCTTAGCTTCACAAAAACGACGATCAATTCCATGTTGACATATGACGACAGATTTTGGTCTTTCCAGTTGAAACTCACGACATGCCACATGAAACACAAAAGTTTGTCCCCATTGAAACAGATATGCAATCTGAAAATAAATAAGGACTATTGACTACACATAAATCAAATATATTCAGAGAAATATGGATCTTTGAAAATATTTACAGTTCTTGGTTTTTTCAACAAATTCTAAACTAAACTAAATTCTATATTTAATAACGAATACAGTAGCTATATTTTGACAGCAAAAGGGAGGTACTTTGGAAATTAGCAACAAAGCAACTTCCACTAATTTGCAAAAATATAAAGGAAACTTGATGAATAAGACATTATATGAAGCTAGCATTTCACAAGATGGAAATTGTAAAAGATAACCTCTTAAAAGAATGGATCACACATGAACACGAGAAAGGATGTGAAATCACCTTGAAACCAAATAAAAAGCATTACATGGAATGCTAATGAGAAATATGAAAAGGATGCTTCACAGAAGGATGAAGTGAGAGACTATGGATGAGAATAAAAAACACACAGAAGAGAATGAATGCTCCAAAAATGTGGATGGATGGGAAAATGAATTTTCCTTTAACTTTTCTTTATACTTTATATACAACGAAAAACATAGAACCTAGTAAAAAAGAAAAGGGATAGTTCATTAAAGGAAACAGATAACGCAGGTATTTTGATGGAAATAAAAATATTGTTATGGAAAGGAGTTAAAAGGCAAAGCAAGGTTAACTATAGAATACTAAATGGAACTAAAACTAAAAAGTAGCTGTTTCTTTCTAAAATTGCACAGCTTCTCTCCTTTGTTTAGGTTGCTAAAAAGTTCTTCATGTTCTCAGGCCCATTCTGAGGCATCTTCTTCCTCGGAATTCAAACATCACATGGGCTTTGCAATAATTAACAAAAATGTTAGAATTTACTGAACATGTTTTTATACCCTTAAAAAGTATCCAGAATGTGCAAATTTCTCATGGAATAAGAGTTGAAATGGGAGCTGAATAATCAAGGCTAATAATACTTTAAACATGTATATTATATTTTACTAATTATTTCAGATTTAAATAGATTCACTTTCAGAAAAATAGTTGCATCTTTTATCCAATTTAGACCAAGCAAGTCCTACCAAGACCCTGACCTTGATGTTATTTGAAGGAGTTGATTCTGAATTCTGAAAATATTGATAAGTATTACAAGATTCTAACATTCACAAATGCATGATTCTAATTTCTTTCCTATTGAACTCCTTTGATTTGTAAAGGAAACCAAAAAGAATTTATTCTAATTAATTGTTTTTCTATTCCCATCCTTTAATACATAAAACATATATGCTAAAATAGCAATGTATACATTTTAATCTGAAACTTAGTTACAAACCTGTGGAACCGTAACTTTGGCTGTCAGGCTCCCAGTCTGAATATCAATTAACCAGGCATATTCTAAAGTATCACTATCCACAGGCAAACCTTCTGCTGAGAACATAGCATGGGCACGTAGCTGCAGACCTGAAAGGCTTACATGACCCTCTCGAAGTACTTCATCCACAGTAGGTCTCTGTTAAGAAAGCAAGTTAAGAATATTAGTGCTATATAACTAGTAAACCCTAATGCTTTTGTCAGCTTTATATTATGTTAAAAAAATTAAATTCAGGGAACTACCTTTGGGTGTATATGTATAAGACAAATAATAAATGTAACTAAAACAGGTAAATAATTTGAATTCAATGATATTATTCCACAGAAAAATCATATTGCTCATACTATCACAACATACAAACTAATCTGTTCTTGACGGTGGGAAGATTTTCTAGAACAGGTGTTAAACTTGAGTCATTACGGCGGCGTCACCTGACATATTGGGACTTTCCCCCTCCCTTTGCTAAACCGGGTGGGGGCAGGGCCACATAATGCATCCAGCCCGCTGGCCACGAGTTTGACACCTCTGTTCTAGAACAACAATGATTGGTTACAAGGGAACATCGGAAGAAAAATCATTCAAATTGGAATAACTGTAATTGGCTCACAGTGATAAATAAAGCACTTTAGAACAAGATGAAGAAAAGGTAATACTTATGTTCACTTTTCCTAGTGATTTAACTAGCTTGGAAAGTATTTTAAGTAATATTACCTGATAACTGTCATTCAAGAATATATTCAATGGTGATAATACAAGTTGCAGCATAGTTTCCTTATATCCCTTTTTCATCTCAAAACATAATCTTTCCAGAAAAGCAGTAGGACATTCTGGGACATCACTGCTGCAATGCTAAATACAGAATGATAAAATTATAAATAACCATTTAATTAAATGTCAATAATTCTCAAATTGTTAATTATGAAAATATGCAAAATATTCTTTAAAAAGGCAAAAACACTGGAAGATAAGTTTTTTCAAAGAGTAACATCGCTTAAAGTAAATAATTCTTCTGAAACTATTAAAGTTAAGAATCATTCCTTATTTCATATTGTATTGCTAAGTGCTCATGAAAAATTCTCTTGAACTGTTCTTACCCAGGGAAACAACAGTTTTGAAATTGGAGAAGAACCAAGAAAACATCCTTTCTATGCATTACCTCAAGAATAAGGGCCTAGTTAATCTCAGTCTAACTAGTACCACTGTACAACTACTGTTATCCAACTTCCATTATAATGAGAATAAAACTACATATCAGAAGATCAGAACACAGCTTTTGCCTGGAGTTCATTTTCTGTTGTGCCCCCCCACCCCCACCCAAGAGGCCAGCAGAACTGGCAGCAGATTTGGACAGTGAGGAGGTTGGGAAGGAACATGGGTCAGTCCTGGAGTCTGGAAAAGGCTCTGAGGAGGGCTCTGCATCACAGGCAGAGATGGGGTCAGCTGACATTTATTAGCTGCCTTCAGAGTCAGACATCAGTGCGGCAGACAAACAGCTGGAGTCTGTTCCCAGTGTGTGCATGCGCAGAGTTGCCAGATGAAGGGAACAGCTAAGGAGCAAGGGCCAACTTTAGAGTAAGGCCACAGTGGACGATAAATAGTCCCTCCCATAGGGAATAAAAGATGAGTGAAAGGGGAATGGAGTTTGCAGGAGACAATTAGTTCACTTAGTTAGTTTGTTACTTTCAGGGGCTCCTTGCCAAGTTTTGAAGATATCAGCCTGGCAGCTCTCCAAGCCAAATAAGGCCTGTGACTGTATATTCACCCTTGAAAGACTTTGCTGGATGTGAATGAGAGAAATTCACAGTAACTTTAATAAAAAGGATTTTTTGTCAGGACAAGGAGTCTGCTTCTTGGTTTGGGAAAGCCTAGGTCAGAACATTTTACTTTTGCCTCAAGAATGCATGGAAAGAGACAAAGAAATGAGCAGAACTAGGACAAAAAATAAATTTGATTTCATTTTAATTTAATTTTAGGTTAAATACCAATGTATTTTAAATTAAGTTTAAAATAGTAATCTACCATTTCATTCCATCATAATAAAAATTATAATGTAACAAAATTACTGGAAAGACTGTGTACCCAAAGATACTTCTGTATCAGAGGGATTGTTTTCAGCACTTCTAAAACCAATTGTATTAGAAAGGAACCAACAATGATAATGAATTGTATATTAATGATGAGAGATGAGATACGTATATATACTTATATAACTTTCATACAATATATGAAAGAGGCATTCAAGTAAATTGAACGAAACAGTCCAAAACTTCATTATATAGACAGCAAGAATGACAGCTAAATATGACATTCCATAAATAAATTTTATTTAAAAAGCAATCCCCACACCAAATTGAGAACTTCCTTATTTTTATCAATATGCTTTTCATTTAGAAGTTGTTACATTTCAAACCAACGTATATCTTCTATATGAAGTGCCCCTGTGATGGTATGTGAAAGCAGGCTTTCAAACATCCACATTTTGATCATGTGAGTATATTAATGATTATAACTTTTAGGACCTGGTGTAACTACCAGGTTAAGAAATGTCATTAAGCAAGGACTATTAGTAATGTGTTTTTAAGGATCATTATTTCATTGTCTATCCACTGCAGGATGAAGGCCTCTTTCACATGTTTTTAAGGACAAAATCTAGCATATTCATAGGCCAGCCATACGAAATCTGTATTTCTAGTTATGTGCACAATTTTCTAAAATCAGGAATAAAGTACTCATAATACTTACTACTGGCAAGTGTCCATGAACTTTGTATACATTAACAAGCACTGTAATATCCCAAGGGCGTAAAGTTAGAGGATTAACTTGTTTCACTGATGTATCACGCTCTTTTTTGTCAGCATCCACTCCAATTGCTGTCCATCCAGAACTTGAAGATGTTGACATAGAAAGTACAGGGCTTGAAATGACTTCTTCAAAATCAGTATACATATCATCTTCACCAAAATAATTTTCCTAGTGAGATGAATTAACATTATTCATTGTAATGGAATAATATAAATAAGTTACAACAAGGAAAAATATAATAGTATAAAATATAACTATAATAATATAAAATTAATAGGTGTATTGGATATGTCCACCACCTTGAATTATTAAAAATAATAGATGGATACAAATAAATAAATAAATCTTTACACTTTAGTATAGCTTTTCTATAGCAAATCATTTAGAAATATTATTTTTCATTTCTTAATTATAGTCTGTATGATTACCACATATACTGATAATGTTTTAGAAATTAAACATTTTAAGTAATTGAAAAGCTGGGGGCAATGAGTAGAACAAATCAAATATTTGAGTTGTTTGTAAATTAGGAGCTCTCTTTAATATTGTTCACATTATGGACAGCAACTTTGGAAACATTTGATTCTGTTCTCATGCTAGTTAGAAATGTACAATTATGATTTAGCACATTTGAAGGATCCCCAAAAAATAGAAGGCTGGTTGGAGACTTTCTTCATATAGAAGAATAAGTTATAATTACAAAATACTACATTTTTAATAGGACTACAAGGCCCATGTATAGTTTATAATCTAGGGAGAACTGATACCTTTATAGACAGGAATGCTTTTAAAAGTGGTCCATATAAAGTTATCTGGGAATCTGGGGAAACTTCTAGTTCTACACGAAGCTTGTCAGGCGGAAGTTCAGAGGGGTCAATCGGAAGATGGGAAGAGGATGAAGGAGATGTTCCTCTGTCTGCCATTTTCTGTGATGGTCGCTGGGCAGATAATATAGTTTCTTCCATTTCTGACACTTTATGAATGAAAAAATAAAACAATTAAGCAAATACTGATAATATTTCACCAGTGTACTAGATGAAAGTAAAATCTGTTAATTTTTTTAAAAATCAGACTTATATTATTCAACAAATCTGAAGAAAATAAAAGCTATGTAATTTGTTTTATTGTTGATGTTTCATATTATTTTAAATTATATTTCTTAACTAACCTGAAGATCTAAAAGCAAGTTTTTATTTTAAATAATAATTAATTCAAACTGACATGTCCAATAAGTAGAGCATAACAGTATTTTAGGGTAGTAAATTAAGGAAAAGGAAAACTATGATAGGGATTTGTTTTATATGCATTTTCTTTTGAAAATTTTAAATAAGCACAAAATAATTTTATCATGTGGTACATTTAGAAATGATAATAATGAAAAGTTTATCTTATCTGTTTGATATTAAAGCTATAAATATTTGCTCCTTATATTTTTTTTAGTATATTATCATGCAATTTCACTTCAAAGTACTTTACACTGAAGCGTATTTAAAATAGTTTTTATCATATGTTTATATTTCTAATGGCCCAGAAGCTTTGTACAACACAGAAAAGGGGGGAAAAACCTATTATGTTTTAGCAGGGCTTTTCTGTTCTGGCAGCGACAAGGAGAGAGGCTATGATTGGCATTTGGAAAGGGGAGGATGGCACAAAGCACCAGAGAGATATGGGCATTGATAGGGACAGAGAGAGGCATATCAATGCTTTTTTTCTTACTTTACCAACCTGGATAGAGTAGGTATGTTTGGATGGAGGGGGATTGGTGAGGGGAAACTGGGGCCTTGCAGACACGCATATTGTAGGGGGGAATATCTAACTTAAGTGTTGGAAGGCAGAGGTGGTGATGACAAACAGGGCTGTGCCAACTGTCCTGTTGCATGCAGGCCCTAAATAGAGTAACAAGATAGCTTTCCTTGTTCTCTGCTTCTGTCTGAGAACTTTGTTCTATTTGGCCATGGGGGAGACTACACATCTGCTTTGGAAAGATGTCCCTTAGATTTTGCATATCTCCTCCTGGTCAGCCTTGAATTTAAAGTATCCCAATGCCCCACTTGACATTCCAAGTATATGGTTGGAGTCTCCACTATGGTGCACTTGTAAAGAGAAGGCACCCACAGGCAGGTTGATTACTGGCTTAGGTCACGCCATCCGAGATCCCAGCCAGCTTTATCTATTTGGCAGGGTGGGGTCTGCTAATGGCCAAGGCTAAAAAATGATGCCTACCTGGTGGCAACTGCAAAGAAAACTACAAAGAGGGGGCTGTGAAGGAGCCACAGCTTGGTGAGTGGCTACAGAGCCACCTCTTGTTCCACCTAATGCTGCCCAGTTTTGGCAGACTGCAGGAGGTACTCCATTGAATGGCCATCATTCATTCTCTAAACAGCTCAGCTGGGCTTCCCACGAGGTGGATCCTTGGGGGGGAGGATCTACCTTACTTTTGGAACTTCATCCCCTTAGAGATCTCTCCATTCTGTTGTGTAATAGGAGGTAGGAAAAAAACCCAAGTAATTCTGTAGACAAACTGCTCTGTGCCTGGCCCACTTTTCTTTCCCCATCCCCCCAGCATACAGTTTGGATATATACTGACCATAACATCTGAGGGACATTACAAACATCATAAATGTGGGCATTGGTCATAAAGTTATTTTTTCAGCAACCTTGTAATTTCAGATGGTCACTGAATGAGGAAATCGGTAAGCAAGGACTATGTGCATTGATCAATAATATATACATAATGGAATGAACTAGGAGGTCTAGTTTTAAAATTTAGGTGTTGACTGTGGTTTACCTTTATACCAATGAAGGTAGAAAAGACAACTTTTTGTCATAAAGCTACATAACTGAAAAGTGTGGCTTTCAACCCGTTTCACTGGCTTTCGATTTATTCTACCTAGGTTATTTTCTCTTTCAAAATGGATTATTCTGCATTTTAAAAAACTGAATGAAAAGAAACAAACTTACATGATTGGATCAAATGTTCCTTAACCTTCTGGGGATAAATTGGATGCCACACATAATCAATTGTAAGCATAATACTTGGTATTGTCCAGCATTCAACCCAGCCAGCCCTATTCAAAAAGAATGGTCTATGTAGCAATTATTTTATTAATTTACACATTAATTTATTGCATAATTTGACATTCTAGTAAGAGAAACCAAACTTACTCTTCTTGAGTCATATTCCTCCATTTAGACTTGCTTAGTTTCTGACCACTCTGACTATCAGCAGGAGCACAAGACTCAGGATTTAATTTATTAGGATGACAATCTTTCACCAACATAAACAGGGAGTATTTACTAGGATGGCAATCAGGAAGAAGTAAGTGAACATCAAGACCATCTCCCTGAAAATACAATATAATGCATATTTCAATCTATTATATTTAAAACATACAGAAGTAGACAAAAGTGTTACAATATCTCATTGTTTTGCCCAAAGAATCCCAATTTGTCATGAAATAAATTGGAACTGACACAAGTAAATGGCATTCACCATTCTTTATTCCATAGAGCAGACTCTTTCCTTTTAATGTATGACTTCATCTATTCTTGTGAATAATAAAAACAAATGAAACATAATGAATACCTCTTAGAAATTACAAGACATAATTGGATTTTAGTTATCTCTCAAGCAGATTATTTATTTTAATTAGGATCATAAATTTCTTTAATTTTATAATCAGTTATGACAAATTTGACACTTTGTTGACATCTAGAAAATGACAACGCTCATTATAAATTTATATTAAAAAGACAGTTATTCATAACGAAAGTATTTTCAATTTCTAAATAGAAGGAAGGAGTCATTACAATGCCTTGGGGAAAAATTATCAAGTATTCTCCACAATTGCATAATGTACAATAAAATTAAGTAACGTAAAACCTATTGAAATAATATCAGTATTAAAAAACAAGTATTTTTCAATGAAACTACCTTTTCAAAAAAAAGACTATACTAATACTTTATCTGTATAGTACAAAATAAACTGGGTATGGTCCCAAATGTCAACCTATTATATTTAATTTGAATGTCAATGTTACTGAATCTATATATTTAAGAGTAAAATTAATGGCACAAATACTGAACTGAGGTTTTACAGTGGGGTATGTATGAGGAGAATGCCTGTGCAGTATATATGAGAGGATTGAGAGTGCGGCCTGGAGCCCCCTCCACTGAGTGCAGAAACAGAAGTGAATGGTACGAATGGCCTGCCGGGAAGAACGGGGGCCGGGGGAGGTGGGGAGGGGTCTACGAGGATGGAGGTGGGCCGGAGCATCACGGTTATGTCTTGGAGGGGCAGGTACGATGGGAGCTACAGGGCGAGCCATCACCGGGGAAGGAGGGTTTGCTACGTCACAGCGATCCCTTGTTCCAGCCCTGAAAGCTCAACTCAAGGACCTGGTGACAAGAGAAGTCAGGGCCCTGGTCTCAGGTTGCTGCTGCTAAATGCCAGGTCTGTGATTCATAAAGCTCCCCTTGTCCGGGACTTAATATTAGACAAGGGGGCAGACCTGGCATGCATTACTGAAACCTGGCTGGGCCACGAGGGAGGAGTCCCCCTCTCAGAAATGTGCACAGAAGGGTTTCAGGTGCTCCACCAACCACGACACCAGAAAGGGGTGAGGGAGTGGCAACTATTATCCGAGAGTCATTTGGTTCCTCGCAGGATCCCTGCTCCAGAGACTGTCAGGTGTGGGTCTCTTCTTATAAAGTTGGACCTAGGGGGTCAAGTGGGCTTGTTTCTGACGTACCTACCTCCCAGCTGCGTCACAACAGCCCTGCCTG